CATCTAAAAACAGAACAAAACAAATCAAATTTAAAATTTAGTAAATAAAAAAACGTAATATATATCCTAATTGAAAAAATTTCATTTATTATTTACCAAGTAATAGGTCGTCCAAAAGGTTTTCCAAATTTGATGTAATCAACTATATCATTAAGTTTCAATCCGAAAACACGAAAAACAATATATGCTCTATCCTCCACCTTATAATTCCTCTTTTTTCTTAATTCTTTAATAATTTCAAGCCATTTCTCATTGCATGTGAATATGATAAAAAGGTCGTGGTTTCCATACTTTCGACAAATAGCTAATGTGATAAAGAGGTCGTGGTTTTCATACTTTTGACAAATAGCCATTGTGTCTTGATAGTTATTCACCATGTACCTAAAACTACAAGTATGTGATGATGGAAAAAAAAAAATCATTTTCGGTATCGCCTCTAAGAACGACTTCATGTATACCTCTATACATCTCGGTTCTCAAGCTAACTTGGTTGTTTCTAATATAATCCAACTCTATCCTCTTCAAAGGTGACATAAGAATCAACTAAATACTGTTGAAACAATCTTTCACCTTTTAATAAAGTACTATCTTTATCCTCTCTCTCTTGTAAATAATATGCCACAAAAGCTCTCATAAGAACTCGTTTTCTCTTTGGAACAGGACCTTGAAAATTAGCATTCCATTTTAAATTAGGCCTAAATCCATCCTCTCCGTAAGGAAAAAGAAGTGGATATTAAAGTGCCATAAATTTAGGATTAGCTTTGTGATATATTATAAATCTCCATTTTTATACTCAACTGTAACATCTCTCTTAAAGCCGAATTTGCCTATGTCACCAACAACTAAACCACCAATGTCATTAGAAGTAAAGAGATCATATTGTCTACCATCCTCTTTTCTTTATCCTAGCAACCTTAACTTATAAGGACTATCAACATTATTTACTATTCTATCTCGTGCCATGCAAAACAACCGAACTAATTCATTAGTATGATTAAGTTCTTCTATTAGACCTTGAACAACATTTTCATCAAGTGTAGATGACTCGTTGTGCACCACTAAGAGTAGAAATTCGATTCCGAGCCTCATTTTCCGTATCATAAATGTACAATTGAGAAAATTTTAGAGATTCACCATTAAGAGGCAGGAGAGAACCCATTAAATGATGTGTTTATCTACTAATCTTAAAAACATAAGGTCGTCGGTCTATCATTAATCGAATGGTCAATCTTTGCACCCATGAAGTGAATGCAAACATTGAACTCTAATATTATCTCTAAATTTGAGAGAATAACTTCCTTGATTTGGATCAAGCAACCTATTGAGAAAGGGCGGTATTGATCGTACCTGGTGGTAAAGAAATCTTTCCACCATGATAGCAAAGAGAAAACTTTGGCTATTGCAAGGTTGATTTTTGTTTTAACCATTTCGAAGCCAAACACGAGGCGGAGAAAGACATCTATGTTAAACTAATTATACGAGGCATATTTAGGTACAAGAATTCCAAATCTTAATTAAAATTTTTAAATAAGAAAAAAAAGTAATTAAATATAGCATGAGACCACCCAAGATAGTTGGTTTGAGCGAAAAAAATAATAATCATTTAAGTAAGTAGTCTTGGTTTTGAATCTTTGTTTATATAGAAATCTCTTTTGGTAGTTGTGTCTATTTTGTGAACTCAACCAAAACATAAAGGATTAGTTTGAATTTTTAAACTTGAAATACTCTAAGGATATATATATATATATATATAGGAGACCAAACGAAAAAATTCACAGAAACAAAATTAAGACAAATAAAGAAATTGGTACATCAATTTATGACAATTGCTTTAATTTTATTATGACAACTTGTTTATTTCTTGTAAATTAACTTGTTTTTGAAAAAATATATTTTAAATTGAAAAATATTTTTTCCAAAAATATTTTATTTTTCATTGTTGGACTATATTAATAAAAATGATTTGAAAATAATTATTTGGCGTTTAATATGTATGAAAAATTAAAGGAATTAAAAGAGTCTGGTTCAATAAAACAGTGATTTTGTAGTTGAAGAAATGACATTGGTTTATTCAAAGCACACGAAAATCATGTAGTTGTGGTGGAAAACCGTGTCGTTTTCGCAATGAAAGTAAGTGTTTTTTAGTTCTAAATTTGACGGTGTCGTTTTGGCCCTTGTGCCTTCTTTTTGCTTGGTTTCTTTCTATGAAATAAAGAACAGAGGAAGGGTGCGTCGTTTTTGGAAAAAACAGAGGGAGATCCCGTCAGTTTGAGCAGTGAAAGGACATAGTGAAGGATAGAGAATGGGAGGGTAGGAGAGGAGAGGACGTTGCATCGCTTTCCCCAAACCCCTATGAAGAAGCATGCCAAATTCCATTAGGCTCAAGGTTGGCTAGGCCATTTTCTTCTTTGCTTGAGTTTTGACATGGTTTTTTCTGGGTTCTTCAGATTTCATTGAAAAATAAGGCTTTTGCTTTAGGTGATTTTGTTTTTCTTTCTTCTTTATTAAACATTTGGTCACAATGTTGCTTATTTCATTGTCTTCTTTGTTGAGCTGAATTTTTAATGCTTTTATTTTATGGGTCTCTTCTGTTTTGTTTATTTTTGTTTTGTGTTTTTTTCTTTGGAATTCTTGGTTAGGGTTGGTTGGATGGAGTGGGCTTATTTCGGTGTACTTGCCATGGTTCTTATGATTAATCTTTTTGCAGGAATGTTATGACCATTTAAGCATATGAGCTAAGTTGGATTTTGTTTGTCTTTGATGGGATGAGCTTGGCTGGAGTTAGGATGGAACTAGATAGGATGATTGTTGGTTTTGTGACAGATATGACGGTTTCCGGATTAAATTTAGTTTTTTTCTCATGGTTTTTGTCATGCTTTGTTGGGTTTGTTGTCTAAGGGTTAAAAGAATTAACCATCGGTTTTTGATGCCGTGTCTACAGATTGGATGTTTCTCTCTTTGATTTGCTGATAAGAAATAGATTTTGGTGGGATTTCAAGCCCCTTTTTTCTGAGTTTGGAGACTGCCTCGTGATTCTTCAATCTTAACACCCTTGTTTCTTGCAGGTTTAGGCATGTAAGCTGCCTTTTTCTTTCTTATCCTTTTCTTTTTGAAAAATAAAAAATAAAAAATTATTGGATACAAAAGGTTGCCACCTGCTAGCTTCATGGCATTGTGTTCTTTACTTTCTTCTCTTTATGGTCTCTGGATTTCGTTGGTTAGTGCTATTTTTAGTTTGATTCTTGCGAGAATATTTACCTCCACAATCTCTTCGTTTCATTTTCCTTTTAATGTTTAATTATTAATGTTATATATAAGGATGAGAAGTAAAACATTGAGAGTGATGATGTTGCATGTGGAGTGATTTATAAATGACAAGAGGAGGAGTCACACAATGATTTCTTTGGCAGTTTAGGATAGCAGAAACAATTGAGTGGAGCATATCATCATTCTGAACCTATCAAGTTCCATAAGTTCCGTCCTCTTTTTATAGTTTTGTGTTGTTGTATTGAATATGCCAGTTAGGAATATCTTTTCTTTATAGTTTTGTATTGTTGTATTAGCTTGATTCTGTCTCCTTTTTTGAGCTATTGTTTTTTGTTGGAACTTCCTCCTTTTTGAGTTGACTATTTGGCTAATCTTTAGTGTTACTGTTATCGAATTCTATTTATTCTCCCTCTTCCAATTTGCTATTTTTGCCTTTTGTTTTGATTGTTTCACTTGGCCATGGAAATTCTGTTTCTTTCAATCTTTAGTGAGTGCTGCTCATTTTGTTGGTTCATTCTTTTGTTAAAGATACTTGTTTTGCCATCTTTATGTTGAACTCGCTTGGGTCAATGTCATTTTTTTAACATATGTTTTAGTTATCCTACGTCACTGGTTGTTTCTTCTCAGCTGTTTTTTTATTTTCCCTTTTCACTTCTTTGTCCTTTTGATTTTCTGCACAAGACTTATGCTGATGTTGCATCAGCAATTATGGCCACAGCTAGCATTGCTTGCCTGGTCAGGAGTTCTTTGTTGAATGCTTTCTTTTTTCTTGTTTATTTCTTGTTTTTGTGTTTGCTCTTGCATATTCATTCTGTCATGACACACTAGCTAGACATTTCTGTCATTTTTACTGGAAACTTTCCTAAGATGTTATCCATCCTTCCTGTGGATCTTTGAATTGCCTTCTAGACTGTTAAGAGATATATCTACAGAAGTTTCAAATCATCTAATATCAACTTAATATCATGAATTAAAAAATTTGGTCAAGCCCAAACAATCTTTGAACAAATTAATTTCTTATGCATAGAAGTGATAAAAAAAGACGTTATTTATGAGGTGTGTCATCTTGGTTGTATGGAAGGTCAAGTTCAATGTTTTTCAAAATACACATTATGACTCTATAGCCCACACTTCTGGATCTCTATTATAACTCTCTGCAAAACCTACCATGTGAACTGATTGTAAGGGTACCGAGTTTAATTAGTTATCAGGATGGTAAAAATACCATGTATTTGAAGGAGATTGGAATACAAACGTAAGTGGTCAAGTCACTCTGACTTATTTCAAATCTTTGTTTTAAGTAGTTATCTGTATTTTCAATTCATTTGATTTTTTCACCATTCAACTTTCTGTAAATGATGAACTGGTTTGGGAAAAAAGACTCTTCATTTTTCAGTAACTGGAAGCTGATCCAATTTCCAATGCCATTTGAAGGTGTCAATGGTAATCTTTCAGACTTCTATAGAGTGTCAAAATATGGGTGGCTGTTTTAAGAAAATAAGTTCATAACTAATTGATCATGTTCCAGTCAGTTGAAAGAATAGAATTGTTGGCTGTTGCTACCTGCTCGGGCACTATATCGGTCATGAATCCTGTTAAGTGGCAGTGATCTTGGCTTGTTCGATGAGAAAAGACATTATTTTCAGAATGGTTCTGTGTTGTAAAAATTCTCCAATAGATTCACTAGATTTGACAACCTTGGAGGGTTTGAGGCTGGTGAGAGACAAGATAACATGATCGTTTGGGTCTTTCCTACGTTTGTGATTCTAGGTTAAGCAATCATTGTACATTAATGTTCAGCTTTTGGTTTTATTGGTCAACATTTCTATAAAAACTAACAGTGCAATGTCCATTTGAATCATCTTCTTGATTAAGCAAGATTGAACTATCTTCAACCAAATGAAATTACTACCACACTTTTCTTTTCTCGGTGGTTAATTGTTGGATGTATTAGTTGATTGGATTCGGTTTTGAAGTTATAACTCCCTTTTTATTTCGTCAAGGTTTAATGAGCTCTTTTGAAAGTCTTTGCAGATTTAGCTCATATTCTAATGGGCTTTTGAGGGATTTGGAAGTTGTAATTGCCCGAAAAGATGATACTGTTCTGTGGAAGATTCGATGACAAAGACTTGCTGTTAATGCCCTTTGTTGTGAGGATTTTCTGAGTCCTCGACGTGCTACTTATTGGATGGTTTCTTGGGTTGGTTGGGACCCTCATAGTCAGGTAAAATGAAAGTCAATGTTGATTGCAGCTCCTTTGAGAATCCGGGTACTGCATGTGCAGGTGGCCTTATTTGAGATACAAATGGGCACTGGATTTTGGCTTTTCAGGCTGCGTTGGCTTTGCTATTAACGAGGCTGCAAAGTTATGGGGTATGAGGCAAGGCCTTCTTTTAGCATGGGATTTGAGTTGTCATAACTTTGAATTTGAGTCTTAAGGATGCTATCCAATGCAAGGAGAATGTTTGCTTGTGTGATACTTATCCTCACTTCATTTTGTTCAAGTATATTAAGAGCCTGCTTAATAGAGATTGGGACTGTTTGGTGTTGCGTTCTCCAAAAAAAGGAACATTTGTGCAGACTTCCTTGCTGAAAAAGAAAGCTATCAGGAATCAGGATGTTCCTCTTCATGTTTGGTATTGCCCTCCTGGTGATTTAAGTCTCCTCTTTTTGGCTGATAGTTCAGGTGTGGCTCATTTGCTAGCCTAGTTGTTTCTTCGTCTCACATCCTTTCTACTAGGGAAAAAAGGGCAGGATAGGTCCCCCTCTTCTGTTTGGGCTTTTGAAATAAATTCTGCTTTTATAAAAAGTTATATTGGACTTGCATTAGTCTTGCCGGCATATTTTCGCTTGCTGACTCGGTATAGGCTAACATCATCTTGACCGTACTCTTAAGGCCTCAAAAAGAAAGCTCTATCGCGGTATAACCACTAGCACTCTACTCGCAGATGGTTAGATGGGTTCTGTTATCTCTGTTTGAGGGTAAAGCTAATTGCAAGTCTTTGGTAATTTGTGGGCAAGACTAAATATGAAAGTTAAACATTTCAACCCATAGGCCTAAATGGCTCGAGACTAGAGCATTCTAATCTCCGTATGCCCGATTATGTTTCAGAGTTGATCGTATCTTTCTTATAACAGGTTTGACATAGGCTGGTAGATTAGCATTTTAGAAAAACAAAGCAAAATGCGAATCAAGCAGTACTTTCAAAGCTGCCCTGTTCCGAAGCAGAGGATGAAGATTTCAGCTACAAGCAATTCTGGTCCAGATGGTACCAAAAAAAAAAAAAAACACCATGGTTCAATGTGAATTGTGATAGAGAATGTATTGACCGACATCATCATGGTTTGCTTTTTCAATATTTTACTACAATTGGCAGATTGAATAGAATGTTGCTTTCAGAATAATTATTTAGAAAGACTTGATCAGGTCGCTTTGGAGGTTAATTATCTAAGTCAAGTCTATTGCTTTTGCTTAAGTTCTGAATGCAACTCTTTTTAGGTAAGTTTTGAATATTCAGCATCTTTTAAAGAAAGTATAGACTTGACTAAGTATTCAATAGAGTTAAAATCATTCGATTTCTTGTTGCAGTGAACTCCACTGTTATAATGTTGTTATTGTAGCGAATCGGTAATGTGACCAGTTTGGTCTACCCGAACTACTTCCTGTAACAATTTCTCCAACTGTTCAAAAAATTACTCCATAGACAAAGTAATGGGGCACAAATGTTAGTTCACAAAGATGGTAGGGATATGCAGAAAATCCAGCAATGGCAATCATCGCTTCAGGAGATTATATACATTGTTTTGAGCGGAGGGGGTTTCAAATTAGGGGTGACTAACATTGAATCGCGTCTTGGTCACACAAAACAACTGGCTATTGGCGATGCCACCAACCTGGTAACAACAGTTACAAGGTTTGGCGTCCTCCTAAGAAAATTGTCTAATTATTGAAGCTAAAAGCTGTACGAGCAGTTGTGGAAAAAGAAGGTTGATGGATGTCGCAATCTATCAAATCCGCCATTCTATGCATTGACAACACGTCAAGAGTCGAGTCTTTATGAAAGCCTATTCAAATTGATGCTAGCTCAATCATGTAGTGAAAAGTTCTTATGTATCTCTAAAACTTGCAAGAACCATACACATATGAGCTCTCTACGACAAGATGACTATCCTTTTACTTACACTTTTCGGTACTAACTTCCTCATTTTCCAGTTAAAATTCTCCACTGCTCTTGACATCATTGCTCCATCACAATCTCTAAGTGATGGCAAGACCTTGGTTTCTAGAGATGGAAGCTTTGAACTGGGTTTCTTTAGTCCTGGAATTTCCAAGAATCGTTACTTGGGAATTTGGTACAATAATATCCCAGTCAGAACTGTTCTTTGGGTTGCAAACCGGCGGAATCCAATTAAAGATTCCTCTGGCTTGTTGACCATAGACAACACTGCCAATCTTTTGCTTGTTAGCAACAGCAACGTTGTTGTTTGGTCATCAAACTCAACAACAGTAGCCAAAAGTCCAATGGTGCAGCTTCTGGATTCGGGTAATCTTGTCATAAGAGATGAAAAAGGTGATTCTGGGGGTTACCTGTGGCAAAGTTTTGATCATCCATCTGATACACTGATTCCAGGAATGAAGCTTGGATGGGATTTAAGGACCGGACTTGAACGGCGTCTATCATCCTGGAGGAGCTCAGATGATCCATCTCCTGGAGACTTAACTTGGGGGATAAAACTACAAAATAACCCTGAGACAATTATCTGGAGAGGACCACAACAGTACTTCAGGAGTGGCCCCTGGACAGGGATTGCATTCACTGGTGCTCCAGAACTAGTCCGAAATCCAGTTTTTCAGTTGAACTTTGTCTCAAGTGAGGATGAAGTATATTTATCATACAACCTCAAAAATAGATCAGAATTCTCCAGGATAGTTGTAAACCAGACTACCAACTATCGTGAAGCCTACACTTGGAATGAAGGAACCCAAACTTGGGTGCTCTATGCTTCTGTGCCAAGAGACTCCTGCGATAATTATGCCTTTTGTGGTGCCTATGGAAATTGCGTCATTAATGACTTGCCGATTTGCCAAGGCTTGAAAAAATTCAAGCCTAAATCCCCAGAGAAGTGGGACTTGATGGATTGGTCTGAAGGGTGCGTCCGCAGTAAACCATTAGACTGCCAGAAGGGAGACGGATTCGTGAAATATGTGGGGCTGAAATGGCCGGATGCTACTCATTCTTGGCTAAACAAAACTATGAATCTCAATGAATGCAGAGCTAAATGCTTACAGAACTGTTCCTGTATGGCATACAGTAATTCAGATATTAGAGGAGGTGGCAGTGGCTGCATAATTTGGTATGGTAATCTGATAGATATTAGACAGTTTCCAGCTGGAGGGCAAGAACTATACATTCGCATGAATCCTTCCGAATCAGGTATGCTCAACATCACCCCTCCCCTCCTCCTTCCCTATCCATGAGTTTCCTTGTTTGACTGATCTTTATTCTAACAATAGTGCAATTTCATAGAGGCAATAGCTGAGCCTACCATAAAGATAGCAGTGATAGTTTCAACAGTCATTACCATGGCCTCTGGGCTGCTTGTGGTCTGCTATTATATTTGCAAAAGAAAGGCAAGGTGCAGAGGTAAAGTTACTGGTCCACTTCTCTAAATGAATGCCCATCTTGTTTGCTATAAAGTTCTAAAGAAGTCGGTAGTTTATGAAAAAGTATAGCTTTAAGCCTTTAACTATTGTCCACTCATTATGACTGCAGCTTTAACAAGTGCACTCTTTATCTTTAGTGAAAGCTTGGAATATTTTTAACGACTGAATGCTCGTTTCAATATTTTAATTTTTCTTTTCTGGAAAAAGACAGAAAAGAAAATGTCTGTATCTTTACTTGATTAAACATTCTTGCTGCCCTTAAGTACATATAGTGGTTTTAATGTTATTTCTAATTTGATTTTGTGTTTAAAAGCTGTTTCTTTCTCTCATATTCATAGAGAAAAATAACTTTCTAGCCGACTCTCTAGTGAAGTCTAGTCTACCAGGGTCTAATGAATTTTTTTGTAGCTTTTTTTTACCAGCTCACTATGCTGGTTTCAATCTATAATATAGTATAATTGTCGATTTCATCAGAAAAAGTAAATATAGTAGTTCTGGATTGCAATTTCAGGTTTGCATAAACTTGATAGTCACTCTGGCTAAAGTTTACTGATTTAAAATTTGAGTATGAGCATATTGATTTGAAATTTGTTTCCATAACCAAATCTTATAACTCAATTTGTAATCACAGTTCCAACTTATATTTGAACAATGATGGACATTCATGTCTCTTCTGTCATAACTATAATGTCCCCTGTTTTCCTCCCTTTTCGAGAGAGTAGAAATGGACGAGGAAAATGATGGGAACAGTGATGGAGAGAATGAAGACTTGGAGCTACCACAATTTGAGTTTGCTAAAATAGTCAATGCCACAAACAACTTTTCAATAAGAAACAAACTAGGACAAGGAGGTTTTGGGCCTGTCTACAAGGTATGCTTTTTCATGCATAAGTTAAGAACAATAATGAACCTGGGTTTTGTTGAGAAAAGGCATGCATTTTATTGGTGTCATTTTGTAGGGTACACTAGAAGATGGTCAGGAAATTGCTGTGAAGAGGTTATCAATGAGCTCCGGACAAGGATTAAAGGAGTTCAAAAATGAAGTTGTACTGATTAACAAGCTTCAGCACCGAAATCTCGTAAAGCTTCTTGGATGTTGCATTCAAAGAGAGGAAAAAATGCTGGTCTATGAATACATGCCCAATAAAAGCCTGGACTCTTTCATTTTTGGTTTGTATCTCTCATAACCTAATAAGAATGAGTCACTTAAATAGCATGTGTCACTTATATATATGATCACATCTTACCAGATCGAACAAAAAGTAAACTGTTAGACTGGTCGAAACGGTTCAACATTATCTGTGGGATCGCCAGAGGGCTCCTGTATCTTCATCAGGATTCTAGATTGAGGATTATACATAGAGATCTGAAATCAAGTAATGTTTTACTTGATAAGGACATGAACCCAAAAATTTCTGATTTTGGTTTGGCTAGAAATTTTGGAGGAGACCAGACTGAAGGAAACACAAGTAAAGTTGTTGGTACCTAGTAAGTATTCACTTTTCTTACTTTTAAAATTTTACCAGTATGCAAGTATTCATCAGTCATTTCTTAATGTCATTCTGCAGTGGTTATATGGCGCCAGAATATGCTACTGATGGACTCTTCTCCGTGAAATCTGATGTCTTCAGCTTTGGTATAATGTTGCTTGAGATTGTAACTGGAAAGAAAAGTAGAGGGTTTTACCATCCAGACCAGAACCTAAGCCTTATAGGGCATGTAAGTATCAAGGGTTAAATTTCCTTATCACATGCAATCATTTAGTGACTGATGATAATGTCTTCAAATGATTTAGGCATGGAGATTCTGGAAAGAAGGCAAACCATTAGAATTAGTTGATGGATTAGCAGAAGAGTCCTGGAATCTATCAGAAGTCATGAAATGTATCCACATTAGCCTCTTATGTGTACAGCATCACCCTGAGGATAGACCAAGCATGGCCTCTGTGGTTTTGATGTTAAGTGCAGAAAGTGCATTGCCGAAGCCGAAAGAACCAGGCTTCTTGAAGGATAGAGGTCCAGTCGAAGCAAATTCTTCATCCAGC